GCTGGTCGGAGGCCTATGTTCCATCAGGCGGCACAGGCGTAACTAGTGAGATGAATAGAAAAGAAATATGTATTCATTATCGACTCAACCAAACATGTATGTCCAACTCTAATACATGTATTTTTATTATTTCCCTCTTTCATTTTGGATTCTTAAACTGTAACTATACTCTGTTATTCTGTATGAAATGACTATTAGCATTGTCAATAATAGTCTTAATAAACCTATGACTTAAGTAAACAAACCGAGACATACTTTGTCTGTGAAAGTGAGATAAAGAATAAGCGTGCGTGTGTATAATACAATATTAATACAAATCAGCATTAGTCAATGTATCCACATCTCATTCCCTGTGAAACTAAATATACACATCTACACCCCTATACACATATGTATTTACTCTAATTACCTTTGTTTCTATAACTGTATACATTAGACGAGAAGTAATTGAGATAAGATACAAAGATTAATAATGATGATAACCATGTAATTCATTCACATGAAATTGAAAATGTGAAAAATAAAAAAAAACGAACAAACAAACTAGAAAAGGTTTCTTTTTCTACAAAGGGAAATCACAAACTGAACTATAATAACTAACAAATATTCATTTGTGTACATGATAATAAGACTATAATAATGTAAAACTTTTCATTTAACATATAGTTGAAATCATAAATCAATTGAAGTTAGACCATCATGAAAAACCTGAAAGCACTGGTGGATAGGTCCTGAGTTTGAATCTTACCATGCAGGATTGTGAATACACACTGTTGAAGAGTTCTACAATAGGACGAAACAGCCGTCTAGTATTTCCAGGTTTTCCATGATTGTCTAGTTCCAATTGACTCATGATCTTAACTATTGAAATTACCTTGTATTATTTATTCTTTAATATTATTTGTTCTTCATGTTGTTTATGTCGGATACTTTGTATTATTATTGATTTTGTTAATAATGTTTCCGATTACTGCTTATACTCTTACTACCTCTACCACTACGGAATTTGAGTCGACAACTGCATCTTTGTACTAATGTGGTATGACAACTCGAACTGATGTACGTACGTATGTACGTACGAAGTTCTACGTTGTTACTGACTGACTGACTGACTGAATTTAATCTTATTGATATAGTACGGTGACTTAAACGTGAAGTATGTGTATTTCCACATTCTATATTGCCTTTAATGAATCAACTAACTAACCATCTAGAAATTCTAGCGAACTTGTCAGTTGTTTTTATTTCAATTACAATTTCTACCATAATAGTACACGTATAAGTTACATTATTGAATTATAACTTGATAAATTTTACAGTTATGAATTGTCATTGATAAATCTAAATATCTTCCATTTGAATCAATCGTTTGTCAATTATTAAGTGGGTTAGTAATTTTTTTGTTTAAGCTTGTCAGACTTAAAATCCTTTAAACGGTTGAAGTAGTATTCATCTAAATGAAGAAACTGGAGCTATACGTACAGAATAAAATATCTTCAAACACTTCTCCTCCTCCTTTGACTAACTTCAAGGTCAATTCATCAATAGTAATCTTAGCTATTGAATGATCTAATTTTATAATTGTACTTATGACCATTCGTAGTCTCTGTTATCTTTATTCATGAATCTTTGTATTATTATTATTATTAATATTGCTTTAACATTATTATCTCCTTCATACATGATTCATTTACTTCGCCTTCATCCCGCCTCATTATGTCTTACTAATAATAATCGTGAATGCACACTGCTGAGGAGTCTCATACTAGGACGAAACAACAGTCCAGTGCTTCCCGGTTCCTCATGGTTGTCTAGATTCAACTGACTCATGAATCCAACTAATAAATAATAATTTTTTATACAATATAGTCTCCTATTAAACATTTGATTGAATTTATAAATGCACTACTAATTCTCTCTCACTTTATCTGATCCATATTTATTCTGATCATAGATCATTTAACATATAAATTGATTCAAGTTAATATTTCAAATGAGCCATATCAACATGAACAGCTATATTTTATTTTGCTTGATAATCCCCCAAATGCCCCGGTACGGCCGAGAGTGGGGAGAGACCGCTCTCCCTCTCGAAATGCTCTCACATGGCCACGTGTATATAGCCTCTGCCAGCGAAGTTCTACTCACTGCCTTCTCGTGGCATTACTGTTGTTTACGAAAATGAGAAGACGAAAAGCGAATGTCCGGCGCTTTAACCGGATTCCAAACCAATGGTGCACATGGGCTCCAGTATCCTGCGGGAACGAATGGCGTATGAACCAATCGTTGGTCACCGGCTTCCATGGGACTACATCTCCTTACAATGCTCCACTGCCTTGTGGATCAGATCTTTAGGTCAAAGGCTCGGGGTGTGGCCCCCTAAGAAAACCACCTGCTTCGGTTCGGGCATCCGGGCAGTATCATAGCCCTCACATAAATTGAATGGGATTTGTGTGGCGCATGTGTATTTGGTGCCTCCTTGTACCAATGTCTATGTGTTAAAATAAACAAATAAATAAATTTAACTTTAAATGATGTAGTTTGCCTTTAATCTGGGCATTTTTCGGATTATTCATTTGGATATATTGTAGTGAATGAAAACATAAATGGGGACAATCGAATATATTTATACACAAAATTACAGAATATCCTGGTAAAATCAAATACCCATACAGTGAATACTTCATTTGAAAAATGTCAATCAATCATCTCAGAATTCGTTGTTCCTTCGTTTCCACAGCAATCATTCTTTATTCCCATTCTCTTCTCTTCAATCATTTTTAACCTTTTGCTTCGTGGTATTTCACTTTCGATTGATGATACATACTACTTATATATTGGTCGATATCAGTAGGACACACCACAATATAATTTTAGAACCTGAATACAATGTGTTGAAAAGAGTATTTTTCATTCAATATATTAGTCTTTTAATAATGATGGGGACCTTTGAACAATTGATTGTTAACATTTAAAATTTAATAAATTTATTTTATTCATTATTAATAACATTTTGATGGAGTTTTGTTCTCTGAGTTGGATGGTTTGGTCGTGGAGCTTTCATCGTTCTTCTGAACGACATCATCATCAGCACAAACTTCAGATAGACCACCTCAGAGAACAAAACTCCATCAAAATCATCCACCTGAGCTACAAATCGTCTCCACCATTAATAACATTTCATTGATGATATCATTTTCAACTCTATAAAAACTCCGTTCACATTGATTTGTCTAATGATTATCAATTTGTTATTTATTATCAGTGAGTTGTTTTGTGGAGACGATAGAAATTTAATAGTTGAATTGATGAGTCAATTGAAGCTAGACTATCATGGAAAACCTAGAAATACTAGATGGCCATTTCATTCTATTGTGAAACTTCTCAACAGTGTTATCCACGGTCTCCCATCAAAGGAACTTGAAACCAGGACCTATTAGCCTCGCGTGCGAACGTGAATGGTCTGCAAAAGGTATTTCCTGAAGTTCTAGTGAGAAGCAGTGACCAGTGGAGTTCAAGTGGGTCTGTTGCGAGATAGTGACTCACTGATAACAATGGTGGATGTGTCACTCAGTTTCGTGGATTGGTTAAATTTAGACATTAAGGTCGTTGAATACCAATCGCCTCAATGGTTTAGAGCTTAAACGTTCGCGCTCAAGACCGACAGGCCTTTGGTTCGAATCTCACAAGGCAGGATTGTGGATACGCACTTGTGAGGGGTCCCATACTAGGATAAAAAGACCGTCCAGTGTTTCCAGGTTCTACATGGTGATCTAGCTTCAATTGACTCATGAATTCAAATTGTTAGTTATTTGTTTAGTATTTAAAAATGGTATCATTCAACAACAACAACAACAAAAAGAGATAGTTCACCTTCTCTAAAGGATGATTGTACTAAATACACCATAATTTAATCATTACAATATGAACTAATATGATTCAGCATTTTTATGAGAAGTTTAAGTAAAAACAATCTGAAATATAAACATCATTTCTTTATCAATAGATGTGTACATTGTCATATTCAATATAGAATCAGTTAACTATATGGAATAGATAATGAACACTTTGTTAATATAAACATTTTGTGTTGGATAAAAAAGAGGGAGAAGAGAAATTCAAAATAAACCAAGTGATTGAATATAAAAATCTCTAAGTAAACAACAAATATGTATTTGATAGTGATAGATTTTATTAGAGTTTTATTAAGAAGTAATAGATGGAGACAGTGATCCACTTCGAATAATGAATGAAGTGTTGTGTAAGATCATGAATCGATTGAAGCTAGACATTAACACTGTTAGATGCCAGTTGGCTCAATGGTTTAGAGGTTAAGTATTCGCGTAGGAAACTGAAGGTCCTGGGTTCAATTCCCTTTTGATGAAGGGTCGTAGATGTGAACTATTGAGAAGTCAAATACTCAGTCAGTCAATCAGCTACAACATAGAACCAGGCACATATATGCATCGGTTCAATTCGCCATACCTCATGAGCACAACAAGATGAACACCAAATCCATAGAAGTAGTTAATTCAGTGGTGGTAATATATAAAAGAAAAATTGCATATAAGGACAGGAAGAAAGACATGAAGTGATTTTAATCTCACAGTTTATGTGAAGACAAAGAGTGTATACACCTACGCCATTGTGATCGATTGTGAGCCATGTCACCTACAGTCTCCAACTATTGGTTACGATAGTCACGCAGACCCCAACCAAGTAACCTGTATCTACCAACATGACTCAGATTAGAAGTTAGTGACTTCAAGAACTGCCACGTTATAGTTTGGCCACCCCTAACTTTCTTCCAACCATCACCAATACTAGTCAACATTGCGTGACACATACTACAGCGAAACGGTCATCTAGTGTTTCATGAATTCAACTATTTAAAACACACAAAAAATAGTTTAGTATGTTTTAAACTAAATAATTCCTGCTTCATTTTTATTTTTATCCTTCTATTTCATCTCGAAATTCAACGAAACATCTTCACAAAGGTATTTGAATGTAATCGCGTTGGGAATCGAATACAAAAACCACCAATATGTGCAGAGATTATATGTCATGTTGATGAATTAGTGAAAAATCGTCCTGTTTTAATTAAAGTTACTGGATGGTTATGGGCACGTACTTTGTTCGCGAAACATATATCAGATGTTGATGTAAGTTTTTTACATTTCTATCTATGATTCATTTCTGTACTGTTTATATATTGAACTGAGTAAGGCATAGACGACCATCTAATCATCAAATGACTTTAGTAATACACTTTTCTTTACTGCAGTTATTTTTTGGAATAGGTACCATCCACTATTATCTGACATCTCCTTGGATATTTTGTAGCTGTCAATTCATTTCCCTTTGTGTTTTGGGACTTTTAGTTCTTAAAAAAAAACAACTCGTAAACTATTTAACTAATCAGTCACTGAATATTAATTAGTGTCTAACTTTAAGATGAATTTCTGGCTATTGTAGCAGCAGTCTCTGTATCAGTAGGCCTCAACATAAACAAAGGGAAAACCAAGGTCCTCAAATACAACACGGAAAACAGCAATCCAATCACTGTTGATGGCGAAACTCTGGAAGATGTGGAATCTTTCACATACCTGGGAAGCATCATCGATGAACAAGGAGGTTCAGATGCAGATGTAAAGGCGAGGATTGGCTGAGCAAGGACCACATTCCCACAATTGAAGAACACATGGAACTCAAAACAACTATCTGTCAACCAATATCAAAGTCACAATCTACAATACAAACGTCAAGACAGTTACTTCTACTATACGGAGCTGAAACCTGCAGAACTACTACAACCATCATCAAGAAGGTACAAGTATTTATAAATAGTTGTCTACACAAGATACTCAACATCCATTGGCCGGATACCATCAGCAACAGCCTTCTGTGGGAGAGAACAAATCAGCTTCCAGCTGAGGAGGAAATTAGGAAAAGACACTGGGGATGGATAGGACATACATTACGCAAATCATCAAACTGCATCACGAGACAAGCCCTAACTTGGAATCCTGAAGGGAAGTGGAAAAGAGGAAGGTCAAATAACACGTTATGTTGGGAAATAGATGTTGATATGAAAAGGATGAATTACAACTGGAAAGAGCTGGAAAGGATTGACCAAGACAGGGTTGAATAGCAGGTGCTGGTGGTTGGCCTATGTTCCTTCACAAGGAGTAACAGGCGTAAGTAAGTAAGTTTAAGATGAATTTCCGAAATCCTAATTAAAATTTACGACTATGAGAATTCAATCATTGAATTGAATGGAACTGAATGAATGTCGTGCAATGTACTGAAATGAATGAATTCCAACCTAGTGGTCTGAAATCAATACACCTTCACGCACACACACATACCATGAAAACCGAATGCCTTGATTTTCATCTAGTACTGAGTCATAGGTGAATTAAAATCTTAATAAATAGTGCACATTGTTGAGGAGTCTTATATTAGGACGAAACAGCCATCCAATATTTTCAGAGTTTCCATGATGATCTAGCTTTAATTGACTCATAAATTCAATTATTAAAATGACAGATTATAAAGTTAGTGAAATATATTAATTTTTCAATGGAATTTTTGTCAACAAACACAGATCTGTATATGGTTCATACATTATTAAGCAAGACAAATGATGTTACAGGGTTATACAAGTTCATCACTTGGTAGAGGAATATAGTTTAGTCGGTAGTTGATTGTTTAAACAGTTATTCTCTTTTTCTTGTGTAGTCACTCAGCAATATGTAGTTCGTTCTTTCAATGAAAACGTCTTTGACAAGATGAAGGATCTTGTCCTGACCTATCTATCAGATAATCGAAGATGATTGATAAGATATTCTGTTCAAGTTAGAATTTAGTTCAGTAATATGAATAATCGATATGCTAGTACCTTGAAATGTAAAGAGATGAATGCATAACCAGTGATTAGAACTTACATTTCAATGTAATGCAGTAAGAAGCATTGTCAGGATGTTAATTGGGTTATGAATAGTCTCCTATGGGACTAGCCTAACCGATAACAATTGTGTATATCTTATTATATACAATGAAGACGGTGATCGATAGCTAAATATAAGTTCATGATAACTAGGATAGTTGATATCGAGTGATAGTCGCACAATAATCATAAACTTAATGAAATTAATAGTATGAGCCATCCCGTAAAGTAAATCATCATTCAATACGACATAAAAGGTTAATTATATACATAAAATCATCAAGTATGTGTTTATATACTTGATTATGAATCGTATCGATTATATAAAAAGTTACTGATCTTATTACATGATTACCTAGATCGAATTAGACAGAACGGGGTTCAAACCCATGACATTTTAACTAAAAGCTGAACGCATTAGGTCAGTCAGTCAGTAACAACGTAGAACTTCGTACGTACCTACATCAGTCTGAGTTGTCATACCACATTACCGCACAGATATAATCGTCAACGCAAATCCCATAATGGTGGAGGTAATCGGAAAGATTAGGGTTTGAATATGTTATTCAAGGAGTATAATCCAGTGAAATAAATTTGGGGAAAGATTAAATAAGGGACATGATTAATTCAGAAGATTAGAATTGGGAGGAACACAAAGAGTGGATGTACCTGAGCTATTGCAAACGCAATCAGTAATGTCAATAGTTGAAATCATGAGTCGATTGAAGCTAGACCATCATGGAAAACCTGGAAGCACTGGATGGCCGTTTCGTCCTAGTACGGGACTCCCCAGCAGTGAGCATCCATGTTCCCGCTTCCCGCGAGATACGAACCCAGGACCTATCAGTTTAGCGCACGAGCGCTTAACAATTAGACCACTAAGCCGACCAACCGGAATCTAACGGTGTTAGTGTCTGTAATGAACAATATAACAAAACTGAAAGAAATGGTTTATAATACTCATCAATCAATATGTAACAATGAAAAATGTTTTCTGACTTCTATTTTCACACTGTATCAATCAAACTGAAACACAAAAGAAAAACTGGGCAAAATAGCATAACCTCACGGTGTACTTTGCTACATGTTAAATATAACTGAGTACAATCAACTAGTGAAAGGCTTGGATTTCAATTTCATTCTAGTTGATATTTATCAGCAAGTTTTATTTTGTATCTGCATAAGTGAGATCAAGTAATGTTTCAACATATATTAAATAAATAAGACTTCTACCTGAGGTTTGTGCTGATGATGTCGTTCAGAAGAACGATGAAAGCTCCTCAACCAAACCATTCAGCTCAGAGAACAAAATTTCATCAAAATAAGCATAAGTTATTGATAGGATGTTGTAGAGAAACAGGTAATGCTAGGCCATATGGCTTTAGAGTTTTCTCTCATCGGCTGGAATCAAATGAAGAACTTATCAAGGGGATGGCCATGAAAAGTCTTTTCGGGTCTTTATTTAAGAAATCTGTTGTAACGGGTGAGTGCAGGTTACGATAAGCAGCGTTATATCGAACGATTACAGTAGACACGTAAACACATAGTGGACGACTTAGTGCTCTGACTGGCCCTGCTTCGCTGTCTGTCCTAGCCAGCTGAGTCAGGAACATAAGTCACAGCCTCTGAGTCATGAATCAGTATACTGCACGATTTGTTTCCTGTCACTGTCACAGAAGCGATCGATAAATACGCTGCTTATCAAAACCTGCAGTCACACCACACGTTACAACAAAATCCAAAACGTATGTACCCATAACCCTATGCTGGGTTGATAAACAACACGTTTAGTTCTTGTAAGGATCACAATACGTTTACACTATTTCATTGATATTAATTAGTTTACGTTTCCAACTACTATTATTTCATGATCTCCCAGAGTAATAATCAACCAATAGCTTCTGTATGTCATAAAGATGACACAGGCATTTGGAGTTTGACAACGCCTTTACACATAACACCATTATATTCGACGTATATCAACACAGCCAAATCAAAAGTTAGAAATGAAGGTATTCGAAGATATATTTTGAAAACGATAGATATGTCGAAAAGTTTTTGATCTAAGTTGGATAGCAGTTGCAAAGGATGTGTAGCATGGCGTACCAAATGATGATCTGGTGAAGATGCATGACTGACTGCCTTCAGCTACGGTATGTCCGGCAAAACTAACGAGGTCGATATCAAATGTCGAAGAATTATGGAACTATTTATTTTGGGGATTCATTTACCGATACAGTCGGTTAGTGACGCACTTCTGATTTGACTCTACTCCTCTTACTAGGATGTAGAGTGTTAGTTCACTAAGCCAACATGATAAACTAAGCGGTTAAACATAAAAAACAATTGGTTCACGACTCAATAAACGCACATAATCAACTCATATTTACGCGTACATAATACTAATAACAAGCGCACACACACACAATTGAAAACAGTGACTAGTCGAATTCAACAGGGTCTGTTGTGAGACAGTAACTCACTGAAGACAATGGTGGGTGGTAGCTCAATTTCATGGATCGGTTGAAGTTAGACACTAACATCGTTGGATGCCGGCCAGCCGGCTCAGTGGTTTAAAGGTTAAACGTTCTCGCGAGAGACTGATAGATCTTGAGTTCGAATCTCTCGGAGCGGTACCGTGAATGCGCACTGCTAAGGAGTCCCACATTAGGACGAAACAGTCGTCGATTGCTTTCAAGTTCTTCAGTTAATTCATGAATTCAACTATAAAATAACTAAAATCTCCACAAATCCCCCCTTCTGATAATTCAATTTATGCATGAATCAGTAATGTAAACTAATGTTATAAAAACTGTCATTTTGGATAAATACAATCTCAAGAGAGTATAACCACCACCACCACCATCACCACCAACAACAACAAAAAGGAATGAAACTGCTTGTTTATTTATTTTTCACTTGTAAAATGTTTTTTTTTCTTTTGACACATGGTAATAACTTTCTATTCTATGACTAAATAGATAAATAAACACACAGATAGATCATACAGACTATTGTATTATGCATAACAACTAATCAATGTGACATGTACAAGTAGCGGAACAGTTTTAATTTGTCTATCAAATTGAATAATTTATCTTATTTACATTTGTAATTATCAATAAATCATAGTAATAATAATAATAATATGTTAGAACTAAGGTAAGGTAGACACTTTTATTGTTCATTCTTAGTACCTTTAATGTAAATAAA